TTTTGAACGTAGATGCTTTTGTGTTAGCCTCCTTAAGGAAAACTTGTTTAACTTATGTCTGTACTCAGATATTGATGCTTCCGCTGACACTTGTGTATTCGAGCTTATATATTCGAGCCCTCGAGGCCCCTGGCTTGTAATATAAAGCTTGTATTATTTTAATTTATGTCTAGAGTTGTGTTGTGATATCTTCCTGTGAGTCCTTGATCTTGATCGTACACATTTGCGTGTATGATTAGTGTACGATTGAATTGAGGGCGTCACATGTGGGGCCAGTCTCGCCAGGAGTAACGACCACCGGCGGGTGTGTCCGGGGCGTTACAGATCTCTTTGCTCTTGTACATATTGTTTGCAAGAGGAAATCATAAACATGAAGGTACATTTCTCATTCCTTTTCGGTCTGATGCATATAGCCAAGATACATGTAACTCATTACTCACTCTGTCATGTTGTGCATTCACATGTCTTCTAATTCTATCATTGCATGACTGCACACATGTAGGGGGAGCTTATGCAAGTACATGTTCCTCCAAAGCTTTAATGTACTACTCATCATATCATTACTTGAAGCTTTGATGTATGTTGTCATCAATTACCAAAAAGGGGGAGATTAAAAGCACAAGTGCTCCCTTGGTGGTTTTGGTAATTAATGTCAACATATATTTTGTTGGACTAATGGTTTTATCTAGTATATTTCAGACAAGTTCAACAGTGGTATGGAAAGGACAAGAGGATGTGGACCCCTTCAAAATGCTAAGGACATGGATCGGCAAAAGCTCAAGACTCTACATTTTTGGTTAAGTGATCCAAGATCACATTGAGATAGGAAAGCCAATACTATTAAAAGGGGATGAGGTGTTGCTTAATGGTCTATTTGCTCAAGTGCTTAATGATATTGCTCGAAAACCTTTAGCCACTTTCTCTATCCAAATATGTTCAAACCCTACATTCCAACGCGGCCCCACCAAAATTTCCCTATCCGGAGCCATCGGGTTCATCTGGACACCGCCACACCCAATCCTTAACAAATCGGATCCACCGATATGGTTCTCGGTCCCACTGGTTTTGCCTGCCCAACCTTTTGTAACCAGTTGCAACTATTTTGGTCTCACCGAGTTTTGCAATCGGTCCCACCAAGATGCTTGGTAAACCTTCTATAACTTGTTGCATTTATTTCAGTCTCACCGAGATTTGCAATTGGTCCCACTGAGACGGCGTGCCAACCTTTCTATTTCCATATTGCTTCACTTTGGTCCTACCGAGTTGATGCAATCGGTGCCACCGAAACGAGGCTTGCCCTAACCATTGCACATCGGTTCCTCCGAGTTGTTCCAGTCGGTCCCACCGAGATTCCTGACGTTCATATCTTTACACAGGTCGGTGCCACCGAGATTTCTAATTGGTGCCTTCGATTTGGGTCAAAAGTGTGTAATGGTTGGATTTTGTGTGGAGGCTATAAATACCCCTTCACCCCCCTTACTTAGTAAGAGAGCCATCAGAACATGCTTACACTTCCACTACTCATTTTCTGAGAGAGAACCACATAGTCATGTGTTGGGATCAAGAGAACCCATTCTACCATTTGAACCTTGATTTCTAGCATTCCCCAAGTTGCTTTCCACTCAAATCCTTCTTCCACCATAGCCAAATCTGTGAAAGAGAGTTCAGTGTTGGGGAGACTATCATTTGAAGCACAAGAATAAGGAGTTCATCATCAACACACCGTCCATTACCTTTTGGAGAGTGGTGTCTCCTAGATTGGTTAGGTGTCACTTGGGAGTCTCCGACATGATGTGGAGTTGAACCAGGAAGTTTGTAAGGGCAAGGAGATCGCCTACTTCTTGAAGATCTACCCGAGTGAGGCAAGTCCTTCGTGGACAATGGCCGTGGTGGGATAGACAAGGTTGCTTCTTTGTGGAGCCTTCGTGGGAGGAGCCCTACATGGACTCACGCAGCCGTTACCCTTCGTGGGTTGAAGTCTCCATCAACGTGAACGTATGATAACACCACGTATTAGAACCACGCGTTTGCACACTCCATTTCCCATCCCCCTTACATTCTTGCAATTACATGCTTTACTCTTTTCGCTGCCTATACTCTTATCATGCTTGTATGAGATGTATCGTGGCCTTTTAACATGTGCTAAACTCAAGCTTAACTTGAAGAATTGTAAAAACTGTCACTTTTGTTTATTAAGGGTCTAATCACCCTGTATAGACCCCTCTTCTCGATCTTTCAAGTCTCCACCTAGGCCGACCCACACAAGAGTAACAAGCGGTGTAAAAAGACCACAAAAATAAATCACATTATCCCGGTTTTGAACTCCCGATCACCTCTAATGGATGCGCGTATGAAACCACTCCAGCTGACCAGAGCTAGTGACGAGTACGCAACACGAAATACTTTAGAACAAACTGCATTGGCCGATCCGAATATTTCCCCTTTTTTCAATCATTTCACCAAATTTTAAAACCAGAAGAATGTATGAATTCATGCACAAATTCTAAAAAACGGGATTTTTTTTCTCAATTCCATTTTTTCACAAACACGAACAAGTTTTTAAAAAATGTGACCAATATGTGAATTGGTGAAAAAATTTAAAATTGGGATTTATTATGAATTTCGCAACAGATTTTGATACGGAACTTTTTTAAAACATGAAAATTTTGGACAAAAGCGAACATTTTTTTAATCTGTAAAAAACAAATTGAAACTGTGAACAAAATATGAGAAAGCGAATATTTTTTCAATTTGTGAACTAAAGGTGAAAACAGGAACATTTGTTAAACTTATGTTTGTTTATTGAAAAAGAGAACATTTTTTCAATTATTTGAACATTTTTTTGAATTTGCAAACAAAATTGAAAACATGATTTTATTTGAACTTATGAGCTTTTTTTGAAGGCAAACATTTTTTTGAAATATGAAAACATTTTTTGAATTGTAACAAAAATTTAAAAACAGGAACATTTTTTGATATTTCGAACATTTTTTGTAATTTAGAACAATTTTAATATTCTGAAAAACAAAAATGGATACAAAAAATGAGAAGAAAAAAGGAATTAAAAATGAAAAAGAAGTAAACATGACAAAGGAAAAAAGATAACGAAAATAGAATCAGATAACTAAAAACAAGAAAAAAGAAAAACTAAATAATAATAATAATAATAATAATAATAAACCAAACAAAACCATAAAAGAAACAGCAGGAAAAAATAACAAGAAAAAAGTCAGACCTAGACCAGTTGGGAACCTTTTGGGAACTTTTGAAAGGTTCCCAAAACCCAAAATCGCTAATTAAGAAGTACTCGTTGCAAAGAACACTTCACTTTCTCAGGTCGTGACAAGTGGCGCACATGCAGCGCGCCACTTATCGCAACCTGGGAGTTTTCCCTTTTTTCGTAGATCCGTTTATTCAAAACGTTTTATCTTTTAAACCATGCATCCAAATCTTGAACCGTTTTCATCATTGGATTCCTCACATCGAGATCTTCAAAAGTAGATCCCATGTTGATAGGTTTTGACGAACTTTTTTTCATGAAAAAACCGAACGAAAAAAACCGGGCAAAAAAACCGAACCGGGAGCACGGTTTTTTTCCTTTCCGAAAGAGGCACGCCCGTGCCTCTCGCGAAATCACACCGTGCCTCTCGTGGAAGCAAAACTGTGACTCCGTGGAAGGAAAAAAATAGAAAACACATTTTTTCGTTTCCGAGAGGCACGACCGTGACTATCGCGAAAACATAACCGTGCCTCTCGCAGAAGCAAAACCGTGACTCTCACGAAAGAAGAAAAAAAGAGAAAACGCGTATTTTTTCCTTTTCTGAGAGGCACGGTCGTGACTCTCGCGAAAGCACAACCGTGCCTCTCGCGGAAGCAAAACCGTGACTCTCGCGAAAGAAAAAAAAAAGAAAACGCGTTTTGTTTTTCTCTTTCCGAGAGGCACGGCCGTGACTCTCGCGAAAGCACAACCGTGCCTCTCGCAAAACCGTGACCCTCGCTAAAGAAAAAAAAATAGAAAACACGTTTTTTTCGTTTCCGAAAGGCACGGCCGTGACTCTCGCTAAAGCACAACCGTGCCTCTCGCGGAAAAAATAGTGACTTTTGCGGAAAAAAATGGAAAACGTGTTTTTTTCGCGCAAAATTTTTTTTGATCAAAAATCTAAGGAAAACCAAAACGTCGAAAAAACCCGGAAAAACCGTTTAAAAAGCCAAAAACGTGTGCGGAAAAATAAAAAAATAAAAAAATCCGAAGGAAACGTCCAAAGCGCAACACGTGACGAATGACTAAGAGCGCGTCAAGTGGCGCTGATCATTGCGAGGCTCCCGAAGGAGCGCTCGTTAACTAGTTGCTCCCCCCAAAACCGGGATCAGTGAAACGCGCAAACGGGCAGGCCCATTTAATCGCTCGCCTCGCCATGTCTGTGCGTTTGCACACAACTTGCCGCAAAGAGCGTAGTATAGGTTTTCCCCTCTAATGACGCTGAACAATAGGCTGGTGCAGGTTGTCAAGAGGGCTTAGCGACCGGAATACAGTGTTAGAGGGCTATGTAGCCCATAAAAAATCGATAGATTCAGACGTTAGTTTTGATGAATTATGTGTACGCATAAAACTGACTTGGGAATCACATCTACAACATTAGGGTATGTTGTTTCTAACTTTGATTTATACACTATTGGTATTTTTACTCTGTATGTTGAAACAACTAACATTCATGAAATGTCATTGGGGTATATATTTCGCTTCAAGCGGAAGTACAAACAAAGTAAGGAAAAATATACAGTATATAAGTTCGCTTCAACAATGCATTAGCAGACACAAACGGCAATCAATTTTCACTGTTACAACAACCGGTGCTTACTCACGATTTTTCAGTATCACTCCAGTCCATATATATTGGTAAGATTTTCATAATGTTACAAGATTAATTCTGTATAAGTGAGGACTGTATATGTGGAAAAATTCCTTGTTTACAACTAAATCTCTCGTTACTGCTGGCTGCTCAGAGTATTGTGCACCTGTTCATACCAAGGGAGGAGAAAATCCGCCTCGCAGAAGGCCAGATGCGGCCAATAAGTCCTGGCCTCTCTTCATCAAAGGCATGATCTGACTCTGCACTCGGAGGACTAGACTTCCCGCTTCCATTTCTATCCCTACTTGTCACTGCCTCGCCAGACCCTGCCGTGTCGCCACCATTCTTGGACTCCACACCAACTTCAGATATCTCTCCTGGCTTCTTGTCAAATAGTCCTTTGAACTGCTTCCTTGCCTTCTTTTCAATTTCCTTTGTTTGTGCATCAACTGTTAGTTACAAACTTTGAACACTATTCCCTCCGTTCCTAAATATAGATCTTTGTAGAGATTTCACTATGGACCACATACATTCGTATGTGGATGCATTTTAGAGTGTAGATTCACTCATTTTGTTTCGTATGTAGTCCATAGTGAAATCTCTAGAAAGACTTATATTTAGAAATGGAGGGAGTATGAGTTTGTGCATGTTCTGTTGCATACCTGTTCCTTCTGTTTAAGTTTAACAAGGGCCGCTGTAGCATCAGGTTCCGAGGACTTATCAACGGTTACCATCTAATGAAGCGATGCCATTACATATAGATTAGGCCTCTACCAACCAAACATGATTCTGAAGCATGGTGCCACTAACCTTCTCAAAATCGTTCTTTGCATCACCAAAGTCCCCACCTAACATGTATGACATTCCTCGGCGGTAGAGTGCTTTGACATGCACAGGATTTGCATCAAGCACCTGTTCAAACACAAGTAAATCAAAACAACAGCAGGATAATAATGTGAACCTTGTGCAAATCTATACTTTGTAGAGGCTGATGTAGCAGACTTGAATGGAGTTCAGGAGGTGAAGTGCAAAATTGCAATCCATGAGGGAGTAGAGCAAAACTGTAAGTCCATTTGACCTTTGATCCCCCAACCCTAGTCCATCCGACCTTCACCCAATGGGCCATGTGGCTGTTTTCATGGTAGCACTGTCACGACCTAGATTATGGAGCGCATAGTGGTGGATGGTAGGAGGGCGAGGGCGAGGGAGTTTAGGCTTGGCGCCTTGAGGATAGATCTGTTCTGGAGGAAAAACGTCCCCTTTTACCGAAAAAGGCTTTCACCCCGCTTTATATATAAAGCAACGATTCTCAACAACCCGGTACAAACACCCGCCAACACTACACACGCACACCCAAGGCAAGATACATAGGCACTGAGCGCAGCAACAACATCCCTAGAGCTACGAGAGCAACCGGGGTCCTCAACCGTGAACACGCCACCGTGAAGAGATGAAGCCACATATGACGAACCGTGGGCTCCAAGGCGGCGCCTTCAGGAAGGAAACGGCACCAGAGCACCGCCACCGCCTAACCCGAGGATTAGAGTTTCCCCTGGAGCAACATGACGGGCAATGATACCCGCGACGACGCCTTCAAGGGAATGAGCTTCGCCGCCGCCGGTCCGTCCGAAGATAGAACAGGTTTTCAGCCCGGCCAACACTCACCGCCACCGAACACCACACCCCGGCGACCACGCCGCCCACACGGCCATGGCCACCGGGCAGCACCAAGCCATGGGCTCTGCCCATGAGCACCACGGAACCACCACCAGGGCCACCGCCCCGACATCCAAGACCTTGACACCCCACTCGAGACCTCCCGCTACCCCAACCAAAGATACCCCAACCAAAGATACGGGCGGAAAGGATCCACCTTTCGCACCCCTGGGCTGCCCCCAACGCCTCCATCAACCCGTCCTGCGGCACCGGGCGCGAGGCGAGGTCGGTCCTGCTGCCGGGCGCGAGATGAGCTCGGTCCTTGCTGCCGAGTGCGAGACGAGCGATGGACCGTAGCCAGGGAAGGACCGAACCTTCGACGATGGTAGCGACCAGACGACGAGGAGAGTGACCGAAGGTCGAAACGGGCCGCCTACAAACGAGCCGACGCCGAAAAAACAGCCGCCGCCGCAGCCGAACTGCCGTGATGTCGGCTCAGCGAATGGAAGCCGCCACACCCAGAGGGCCGAGCCACCCCGCCGCCGCCGCCCACAGCCGGAGCAGCCACCACGCAGGGCCACTGCGCCAACCCGTGCCGCCCGCCGGAAAAATGCATCAGATCCAGCGGGCACACACCCACCACCACCAGCCCTAGCCTGCCTCCAGCCCACGACTGAAACCAGAGGAGAAGAAGGGCGAGACCCACACCGCTGCGCCGCCACCTCCGCCAGCAGACCACCACCGCGGAGATGACCGCCCGCAGCCCGCACCCACCGCGTCTGGATCTGGCAGCCTGCCTTCACCACACTGGCCGTGCACCACCAGGGCATGCCTGTCACGCGGCCATCGCACCCGCTCGCCACCACCAGCGCCGATGCGACGCCGCGCGGTGGAGCCCCACGGAAGCGCCGCCACCAGGTCCAGGGCCGTCGGTCCACGCCGACCACCCCGCATGAAGAGACGAGAGGGGCCCCGCCGCCGCAGGCGGCGACCGGGCTTTGCCCGGCCCCGCCCTCTGGCAGCGGGGAGGGAGGATCCCCTTTTCTCTGTTTATTTCTTCAATACCTAATTACATGTTAAATTGTGTAGCTTTATAGTGCAGCTTGGCAGTAGGCTAGGGAAGACTTGAACCGACTCAACTAATCAAACAAACTAGACATGGAAACCAATAAGGACCTATCCGGACGGGTCCAGTACCCCATGGCGTGAGAAGCTATGCCCAAGTTCCTTTCAGTGAATTACCTTATTGCACGCTTCAATAGACTTCCTGTACTCACCCATCTTCTGGTAGCAAGCAGCTACATTTAGATGTAGAGAACTCTGCATTTGTAACAACATAAAAGGTTTAACAGCAACAAGTAGAAAACCATATACTACTAATGGGAGGAGAAATGTGTGTGCGCGTGGGGTGGTGGGGTGGTGGGGCGGGGGTGATCTAGTGGTCAGTGCATCAATCGGTATGGTAGGAGAAAGCTGGAAAATAGAGTATCATCGTACTCTTGAATTGGCAAAGATTTTCCCCTCTTCATCGTCTTGAGGATGCACGTGGTTATACTCCCTAAGCAACTACATCCATAGAGGGTAGGGAAACCAAAGTCAGCAAAAAGTTTAAGAGCTGTTGGCATGGCTTGTTTCACATCCAAGCATTTTCTTTTGACAAGCAAAGTAAGTTTTAGCATGACTTTTCTTTTTATAACTGGAAAACAGAAGGGGAGCCCCAAAATAAAAGGGTACACTATATTAAAAGAAAATGAGCACAAAGATATCCACAGCATATTTACAGAAGGAAAAAATTAATGGACCCAAACAAAAGGGGGGAAACAAACATGGATTTCCGTGGACACCTGCATCGAGTTGCATACTTTGTGCTATCTCACTGAATACATGGGGCTGCACAAAAAAATCTAGAACTGACAAAAAAGATCTCCCAACCCCCCTGTAAAATGCTTTTTGCCATATACTTTGCATCATGTGAGCTAAGCTCCGCCAAAATAATAATCTTAGTACAATGAGATATCCTGAACTCCAGCACATTTATCCCAACAACATGAATTGCAGAATTTGCATGAAGCACCATGATTAAAATGAGAGTCAATTTATAATTAAGAACCACAACGGCATGCTCATGCCGTGACGTTGGCATAGCTGTGGTGTTATCTCTTGTTTATTGTCAATATCGCTTTAATTCATTTACATTTAACATTTAGATTCAAATTGAAGAATTTCGACACTTCGCACAAACCTCAGGCTCCACTGAGAAAACTAGTGGTGCGGAGCACCCTAGGGTCATCACCATGGCTTTGGCTTCATTGCCAACACATCACATATACTAAGGTGAATTCCATCCTTTATGTGTGTCTACTTGGTTCTCTCATGGGTGATATACTACTTGACCCTCCTTCATGCATACATAGGTTTGAGCTGAGCTTCACGCAAGTCAAGGAGGAGTGCGCACAAGAGTACGCCCACACCATACACAGAGAAGCTTGGAAGCAGAGATGGAAGAGAGAAGATGGGCAGCTGGAATCCAGTAGCCAGACTATCCAGCCTATAGCCGGACAAAAACCTCCTCTGGATCACCATCTGGCCCTTCGTCTGGCTACCGCGCACAAGGCAACAGAAGCTAAATTGGTGAAGTCAGACTGCCTGGCTTGGAACCCGGACAGTACAGCTCCTAGAGCGAGCCCTCTGAGTGGCGCCTGTGGAAGCCCTGATCCGGACGAGTTGCAGGCTTGCGACCCGGACAGGCCGGCATGTGCCTGCGTGCAAATCTGGCCCACGAGCTATGTATCCCCTCTCTCACCTCCCCCACTTAGCTCTTCGTAGCTAGGACTATATATACCTTTCCCCCACCTCCTCTCTAGGGTTAGCAAAGCAGAAACTAGATCTTGAGAGAGCATTGCTCCTTGACTCCTTGTACCTCCTCTTAGAGGATCAAGCCCTCCTAAGGGAGAAGAATCCCTTTGGATTACCAGGACCTCCACATCCTTTGGATTGGAGAAGACCATCTCTCAAGACCCTCACATATCTTAGAGATTGGGGAAGGACTACCCTAGTTATCCTTTATTTTCTTTGTTTTTCTTGGATCTACATGCACCTCATGTATTGGCTTGTGATCTGAGGGATACTTGGTGTGGATCTTGTCCAATTAGTGTTCTCTCGTGTTTTCTTGTGGATTTGTCCCGTGTTCTTCGTGAATACAGACAATACACCCCAAATCCCTCTCCAATTCGTGAAGATCAGGCCACCCTAGGGGTTGGTCCTACATCAACCAGTTGACTAGATCTCGTCAGTTTTGGACAAGACAGGTTTCCCTCAACCCCAACCCTTTTTTGTAAAAAAAAGGAAGTGCATGGTGCACTTCTCCAAAAATCTGAAATGAACTCAGCAGATGTAGTGTCAAATTTAATCTGTATATTGAGCAATCAATTCTGGTGGGTAGCAGATGAACTTAGGCACTTAGCACATGCTATTTTGGCCTATTTTTAGCTCTTTTGGACTTTGCTTGTTCTTATATGTTGTCAGAATGTTAAACTTGCATAAAGAATGTTTATCCGCCTTTGTTTTCGTTTTCAGGGCTTGTTGAGCTGTGCCCTCAGCAGAACCCTCCTGTACTCTATGCTGTGTGACTCTGTGTGTGTGTGTGTGTGTGGGTGGGTGGGTGGGTGGGTGGACATTTGTGATACCTTGTGGCCGTGGTGGTTTGCTTTATTTATAAAGCGGGGCGAAAGCCTTTTTCGGTATATGTTGTTAGAATGTTAAACTTGCATAAAGAATCAAAGGGAAATAATATAACACCGACATACAGCATGAATAGACTGGCTACTCTTCCTGGCCATGCCCGGGAACATCTTTGCAAACAAGAATAGTTGTTTTTAGGAAAGATGTAGAGACACAGATGAATATCGCTACCTAAGACTCAATTTATATAATAAATAGAAGTAATCAATTTACTGCACAGCAACTTCAAGTACCAGTGGACATACCTTCTCGTATTTTGCTTTTGCAAGTTCAAATTTTCCTTCTTTAAATAGTCTGTTACCCTGTGAAAGCGATTCTGTTTAAAGTCAGTTGTCTAAAATCTAAAACAATAATGAAGTACCAGATCAAAATTATGAAATACTTTGTAACTAAGTGCTGGTTGAATGTAGGCTCAAACTCTAGCAAAAAAGAGAGCTCAAAATCACTATAGACTAGACCCAGCTGATGGCCCAAAGGAAAGCTCAGGATTCTCATAAGCCAAATACATCTAATGGCATCTTAAACCAAATAACCATCTTCAGGATTGCAAGACACTTGGTTGAAATTCATTTGACATGTTGCTCTAGCAAACAACATTTAAATAGCAGTTGAAATCATTTGTCCAAATAGAAAGGAAAGAGAGAAACTAAATTTTTATGCAAAGATGTCTCATAAGTTTCTTGCATATACCCATTTTCTGCAAAAGTGCATTTACGACAGTCTTGTTGAAGTGTATATGAGGATTGCCTAGCCATTTCCATCAGCCCGGACTTTTGGTTGTGTTGGCTAGTGCATGAAGCTTAACATGGTATCAGAGCCCAAGGTCTTGAGTTCAAGTCCTGACTTTCGCAATTTATCTAAAAATTGCTGCTGCCCCCCTCTCTGTCCACGTATAGGCCTCTCACGTGTTGACTTCCCGCGTCACAAGTGAGAAAAGGTGTTGAAGTGTATATGTGGATTGCCTAGCCCGCCTAGCCCTTTCTATCAGTTCAGACTTTTGATTTTGCGTTGGCTAGTGCATGAAGCTTAACAAGTCTCACTCGAATACAAATTGGCGGGATTAAAGATAATATAATCATTGTAAGTATACCGTGTTCTTAATTTTATCTGCCTCTTCCATGATTTCTTTGAAGGTCAAGCCAGTCCAATCCTGCATTTGTACAATGATCATTTGAGAAAAGAAAATTCACTAGTTAAAATCATATGACAAGCATAACCAAAGAAAAAATATATTAAATATATAAATAATAGAAATAATTCCGTAGGTAAATGTTGCACTGAGTTATGAGAAAGCTCCCAAGGGAAACTATTAGCATTTACCTGTGCACATATGTGACGCATGTAACACAGTCTATTATGGTACTATGACACCATAAAAAGCAACAGAAAAACAAATGGTTTCATACCTTGGGAACTTCAAATCCAAGTAATTCAATTTCCCACCGAACATGAGCTCCTTCAGGAACATTCGCTGGCCTGTTGCACCATATCCGATTATTCAAAAAGCTTCATTGCCAAAAAAAATTACGAATGTAAAGGTTGATACGACCTTGGGAATTTATCATACGCAAAATCTGGAGGGCAGGTGACAATAGATTTTTCACCAGGAAGCATTAGTCGAACACACATTTCAAATCCTTCAGGAACCTACGACAATGCATCAAAACATCTGTTACTCTTCTTCAATTGATAGGATGAAACATATTTTCACATTCAATACTAGAGATATGTAGTAACAGAATTCTAAGAGAAAACGATAACAGGAAGTGTATAAAAGTATTGCTCCCTCCGTCCGAAAAAGCTTGTCCCTCAAATGGGACAAGCTTACATCCATTTGAGGGACAAGCTTTTTCGGACGGAGGGAGTACTTATGTGATAACAAAGTCCCATTTTATTTTTTCAAGTAAGTATGTAATAGTTCTAAGAAAGGACAATAAGTATACAGAACCATCAATTTGGAAGCGAAGCCCTGAAACCCTATTGGGAGTTCAAATTATTAACATATACAAAGTTTAAAGGTCAATGCCATATGTGATCAACTTTCACAGTTTCTGTATTGTAAATTCTTATTTTTGAACTAAATAAAGTCTAAGTGATACTTTAAAAAATAGGAAACAAAAGTAGGATTCGGAGACCCATGGTTCTCGAAACAAAATGGTCGGTATTATTTTTGTTGTCCATTTGCCACATTCTGATAGCAAGATTTAATAAAGTAACTAAGATTGATTATGTAGATAAAATAAAAGCTATAATATTTACCAATCCTTCTCCAGAACAGAACTCCAATGGTTCCCCATCATTATCAATTTGTGTATCATAAAATACTGACTTTGGTTCATCAAGGAGCATCCCCTTGTAATGAACTCTTAACAAGCTATCATGAAGGGGGCAGTCCATAGGAAATTCACCTGATATTTTGGAAGAAAACAAAAAGCAGCTTAAGTAAGCGTGTTACATGGTAAAACAAGAACGGGAAATGATAACTTCATGTACTACTCATCAAGATTAAAAATCTACAATGACCACCCTATTAACGAACTTGCACTTATAAAGTAAAATTAACATGATAAATAGCAAATAGTTTTGTCTAATTTCTCACTCCTTAGTTATGTTCTTAATCTGTATTCCAGTATCCTTTTAGACCTATTACTTGAATCAAACAGAAAACCATCCATCATTCCAAGTAAAAAAAGGACAACAGGAAATAGGGAGATTTTAAACAAAATAGACAAATGTGCTATTACATTTATTACCTTTTAGATCTGTACTTAATGGATTTTCTACTAATAAAGTAAAACATTGAAATTCTTCAAATGGTAAAAAGAGCTAAAAAATGTGTATCCTCTAAAGTATCACAGTAACCAAGCACAAGAAAATCGAAAGGTACCAGTTTTCAGTAGGTGGACACACAGGACAGAAAGTAACACTTCCGGTATAGTTCTGTGAAAGATAAATTTTGCTACACTACAAAGGACAGAGGGAAGAAAGCAACATTTATAGTATAATTCTGTGAAAGATAAATTTTGCTACACTACAAGGGTTAAAGGTGTTGGGACCAGAGGGGACATAGGTAGTATCAACATGTAAAATACAAAAGGTTACCAACCACTTCCATCCACTACACGGCGCTTTATGAGGCGTCCATCACCAAGCATATCCCTCACCTATTATTACATCACACAAACTGTTAGCATAACTTTGTATGTTATACGCATAGTTATAGCTAAAAGAAGATTCTAGTGATGAACAAATGAATCACAGTAAAGTATAATACAATTAGGTGCGTATTCGATAAAGTAAACTAGAGTAAGAAGCCTTCAGTGTGTTGTATCTACACTACCAGCTATAAGAACCTGTGTGCATTGAAAAGTTAGGTAAGCTGGAGTACCTATGATGGCCCTATCACCCCTTACCAAGTGAATTTATTTTTATAAAAAAATGTCAGTTATCCATATTGGATATTTTAGGCCATGACACAACTCTAGTATCAATATCCAGTTCTCTACTGCTTCTTTAAATGAGCCAGAAAATCATAATAATTCGATTTTGGTCTTCAACTTTCTCAAGTAACATGAGATTTCCAAATTTCCTAGGTAATAAATTTCTTCGATGTATTTTAAAAGCCACAAATATTGATGGTTTGCCAGTCGTTAGTTGTGATTGGTTAGATATGGAAATTGACTAGGCTACCTTGCATGCTTTAGACTTTTGATGAAGCGAATTGTGGGTCTAGCGCCTTGATTTAGATTTATGTTATAATGAATAGTAGACCATGGTGTGGCATCACAAATGATGGGTAACAAATTACTTCATTATACAGCCCATAAAATCAGTTGTAGTGTAGTATATGAATCATAGTCATTTGGTGATAAAAGAAAGTATGACCAGACAAACTTCATCATCCTCAAGGAGAGCATGTAATTCCATCAAAAACACAGCCCGAATAAAGCAGGAATACTATGGTATGTAACGGAAACCCCCTAGAAGACCATAGGCCGTAATTCAAATTCTAAACAAGTGTTTAATGGAAGTGTCTAATAGCTAATTATGACTATACCTGAGTAAACTGAACAAGTTCCACCTCAAAATGAACTTCTTCAAGGCCTTCAAGTTGCGGCATTACTGAGGACTCTGTCAAATAGGTATTGGTAACATAAATAGTTGCTTTTTCCTTGCGTGCCATTGTTCCAATTCCCATCTCAAGGCCTTTAGGTGCCTAAACTAAAACAGGAAAAAAAATGCATAGCAAACAGAAGTTAGGAGAATCAATGGGAATGATATAGCTTTTTATGCATTTTAGAATGATAGAATCAGCAGATGAGTTTTACATTACACCAAGTATGCTAGACCTAAACTAGATGGCCCAAATAATTCGTACAGTGGGCACCATGTGGTTCTCAAATACTCCCTCTGTAAAGATATATAAGAGCGTTTAGATCACTGAAGTAGTGATCTAAATGCTCTTATATTTCTTTACGGAGGGAGTAAGTTGCAAATTTGGACAGAAGTGTTTAGACAAGCGCATGATATACCTATATCTTGCATTCCTATAAGATACAATAGAATGTCCAAAAGCGCAAAATTAATACCCTATGCTGTTACTACATGCAACAAGGATGCCACTGACCTCAGATTTACCCAAAGTGAAGAAATATGGCACTTCTTTACTGGGAAGAATTTCTTTTCCATCTGCTGTTCTTGCAGTTATCCTGGAGATGACAAACAAAAATGTCCTAGTTAAATTATTTTTCATAAGAAGGTAAGTAATATCATAGTAGGCTGAATATGTAGATGCAACTGTTAGGAAATATGCAACTTGTATTTCCTGGGGGCCAATGGCCAGTATATATATAGATGTACAGGTGGTAAATATGCATGAAACCCCTCATACAACAGGGAAATTATACAAGCTATAATGGAACATAAAGGGCAACCTGGTGCATGTAGCTCCCGCTTGCGCAGGGTCCAGGGAAGGGTCCGACCACTTTGGGTCTATAATGGAACATAGTATAACTCTAACCCCCCCCCCCT